AGACGGAAAGGAGTTAATGCGTTAATATCAGGATTTATATATTTTTTATTATCGTAAAGTTTATCTATTCATATATCGATATTTTAAAATGTATTTGATTACGAAAAAGGAAGGGGAAAGATATGGAAAAGATTTAATACGTTTATTATCAGCATTTATATATATATATTTTATTATCGCAAAGTTTATCTATTCATATGTCGATATCTTAAAAGGCTTTTGATTACGAGAAGGAAGGAGAAAATATACGGAAAGCGTTTATTATTTGGATTTATATATTTTTTTATTTCTTATTATTGCAAAATTTATCTACTCCTATATTGTTGTCTTTCGATATCTTAAAATGTATTAGATTACGAGAAGGAAGGGAAAAGAGACGGAAAGGATTTAATGTGTTTATTATCAGCATTTATGTATATATATATATATATATATATATATATATATATATATATATATATATATATATATATATATATATATATATATATGTATATATATATATATATATATATATATATATATATATATATATATATATATATATATATATATATATATATATATATATATTCTTAATTATCGCAAAATATATCTATTCATAAATATTATTATCTTTCGGCATTTTTTACATTCTTTTTCATTATCTATCGCAAAATTTATTCATACATCGTTATCAGAAGAAAGGGAAAGAAATTGAAAGGAATGCTTGGCTTGGCTCTGCGTGATATTTTTTTTATTATCGTTTAATTATTGTTATCATTTATCGTTATCTTATACAAGTGTTTATTATCATCCTTTCTTATTTCTATCATTTATCGTTATGTTATACATGTGTTTATTATCATAATTTTTCTTTTTTTTTTGTTATTTATCTTTAAATTAATTAATGAATTTATCATTATTCTAAAATGTAAATGAAAGAAATAGGGAAGGAGAGTTGACTCGGCGTTCATTATCATCATTTTCTTTCATTATTTTTATTATTAATCTTCAAATTTATCTATCTATCCATCGTTATCTTAAGATGCTTATGATTATCGATAGAAAGGGAAAGAGATGGTGATTTTTGTTTTGTTTTGTTATCTTCAACTTTTTTTAAATTCTTGTTATCGGTTCGTTTTCTTAAATATTTCTGTTTATTTATTTATTTAGTTACTCCTCCTATTCCTATGTAATTATTTAGTTATCCTATCTATATTCATTAATTCAATTTTTCATCCTTAACCCATTGCCGCCGGGGAAAATGAACAAAAAATGGGGAAAATGATGTGCCTATTTTCTATATCTTTATGTGAAATGTCTGCCTATAGATGGCTCTGTTATATATTTATTCATTCATTCATTTATCCTATTTATATATTTATCCTATTTTAGTTCTCTATTGCATCTTTTATCCTACTGTGACGAGCTAACCTTGTGTAGAATTTCAGACTCGTCCGTTAAGATACGATACGTTCATTCGGTATAGTGGGGCGTAACTTACGGTATTTTACGGTGTGTCAAATTTGATGTATTTTGATGTGGATAAAATCATCAAAGAGTTTGTGACGTCAGCAAGCTCTCTTCTCTTACCCCCCCTCCCCCCACCCCTACCCTTAGTTCCGTTGGGAACACCCCCTCCCCCGCCCTCTTTCTATACCCAACTCCCTCCCCCCTCTTTATGCCCAACCCCCTACCCCCTCTCTATACCCAACCCCCTCCCCCCTCTCTATACCCAACTCCCTCCCCCCTCTCTATACCCAACCCCCTCCCCCCTCTCTATACCCAACTCCCTCCCCCCTCTCTATACCTAACCCCCTCCCCCCTCTCTATACCTAACCCCCTCCTCCCTCTCTATACCCAACCCCCTCCCCCTCTCTATACCCAACCCCTTCCCATCATTTATCTTCCCTCTATCCCCCTTTCTCCCCTCTCCCTTCCCCTCCCCCTTTCCCATACCCTCCCCTTCTTCCTTCCCCTCCTGTCTCTTCCTTCCCCTTCTCCCCTCTCCCCTCTCCCCCCCATCTCTCCCATGCCATCCCCTCCACCCCCTCTTCCTTCCCTTCCAACCCCTCTCCTACCCCCACCCCCCTTTCTCCTTTCCTAATTCAACCACCTTGCCAGAATATATATATAAATAAAATAAGGACCTTTCAAAAAAAAAGGAAAAAGAAAAAAGAAAAAGGAAAAAGAAAAAAGAAAAAAGAAAAAAAAAAGAAAAAAGAAAAAAGAAAAAAGAAAAAAAAGGAAAAAGAAAAAAGAAAAAAGAAAAAAGAAAAAGGAAAAAGAAAAAGAAAAAAAAAAGAGTTTGGTTAGCGACAGCGCGCATATAAAGGCCACCGTACAGAATCTCTATACCTGACGAGAGAGAGAGAGAGAGAGAGAGAGAGAGAGAGAGAGAGAGAGAGAGAGAGAGAGAGAGAGAGAGAGAGAGAGAGAGAGAGAGAGAGAGAGAGAGAGAGAGAGAGAGAGAATGTCACTTGCTTCCCGTTGGCTTCTGTTGCCGAGTTTTTGTGTCCCGGGCGAGGCAGTGATACAGAGGTCGTTACGGGACACTACGCGCTTATGTATTTTGTAAACACGTTACTTGTTTGTCTGCCAGGGCTGGCTCACAGCGTGTTGACATATGGCAACTTCGTCATTTGTCATTGATACTTTGCTTTACGTCATGGACAGATGTATATACATACACATACATATGGTCGCGTGCATTCGCACAACACACACGCGCGTACGAGCGCGCACACAGACACACACACACACACACACACACACACACACACACATATACACCAACTTGCACGTGTCCAGACATATGTAGCTACCAGAGGTATTTTGTCAAAATACTTTGTGGTTCTTGCTATTTTAGAAATGCCATTAGTCAAGTGCCCGTCGAGACATTTAAACAGTTCTAGAAATTTACAGTGTGCACACACACACACACACACACATCTATATATATATGCATTTGTGCGTATATATATATGTATATATAAATAAATAAATAAATATATATATATATATATATATATATATATATATATACATATACATATATAAATATGTGTGTGTGTTTGGGTGGGTGTATATATAGACACACACACACACACACACACACACACACACACACACACACACACACACACACACACACACACACACACACACACACACACACACACACACATATATATATACACACATTACATCTATATATAGACATATATGTATATATATATGTATATATGTATATATATATATATATATATATATATATATATATATATATATATATATATATATATATACACACAGATACTCCCGACCCCACCACCGCGTTAAACACAAGCCTAACACGCTCTCGTCCCTCTGCCCTCGCCCCGCAGGCACCTGGACATCCGCGACGCCATCCTGACCCTCGACAAGAGCATCAAGGCAGCGCAGAACAAGCTGACCCGCCATGAAGCAAGGGAAGCCCAGGTTGCTGACTTCTCGACCAAGACTCTCAATGCCCTTAGCTCCGATCACGCCCTCACGGAGAAGAACATGCAGACGATTGCCCACCAGCTGGCCAAGATGGAGGAACGGATGCTGTCCATGGAGGCCTTGATCCAGACGGTAAGTATTTGAGAGTCTTTGCTTGTGTCGTCTCGTTTTCTATTTTTGTTTCTATAATTTTTTGTCTTTATTTATTTATTTTTTTGTTACGGCTTTCGTTTTATTTTTCGATTCATGTATTTTTTTTCTTTTTTTTTCTTTTCTTTTTTATTCTTTACTTTTTTATTCTTTACTTTTTTCTTTTCTTTTTTATTCTTTACTTTTTTCTTTTCTGTTTCATTCTTTACTTTTTTCTTTCTTCTTCCATTTTCTTCCTTTTTTTTCTTTTCCGTTTCTATTTATTTCCCCTTTCTTTATTTTCTTTTCCCTCTTATTTTTTTTCTTTCTTTCTCTTCCTATTCCTATTCCTTTCATCTTTATTTCTCCTCCTTCTTATGCATTTTCTTCTAACTTTATTCTACTACGAAATATTTCCCATCCTTAACCCACACCCATATTTTTTTTAAATGACTGGATGCCCTTCCTGCAGCCAACCCTCCCTCAATTACTTGGACTTGGAATTGGTACCTGAGCAGTCTTCTTAAATATACTTATCATCTCGATTCTTATATGGCATAATTTAAATACGTAATTCCACAAACAGCTAGTTTGGTTTGAAAAAAGAAAAATAATTCTGAGGGGTGTATATATGATGTTTTCTCCTTGTCTCTCTCTTCCTTACTGTACTTCCTATATCATAAAAAAAAATATTTGGTATATCATACATTTGCTAAAGTCAGAGCAAGCTATTTTTACATAAGTAGACACATACTATCTTGATGTAAATCCTAGTTGGCAACTTTCGAGCTCAACCCCGCCTCCTCACTGTTATTCATTGCAAATACTAAATGTTTATTTTTTCTTTCTCTTGGTTTCCTTTACAATAATTGTTATTCCAGAACCATTTTTAAAGAAGATGCACTGAAATAACACTTAACATAAAATATTGTTCGGTCAAAATGGGAACAGATGTAACCACGTCTAGCCAATGAGATATCATATGTAACTAGATACACAATTATTTGTATAATTTCCTCGATATTTTACCAGAAGTAAAACCAAAAATTTCTCACATATATGTGTGATAAATGAGAGTTCCTTCCTATTAACAGCCGTCAGGATACTCTTGGGAAACAGCCAATTTCATTTTTCGGGTCCAATAGGCTAAATGGAAGTGGAACTACCTGGTTATATGTACCTTGGGTCGTTAGAGAAAGGACAAGAAAAGTTGATTGTTTCTTGAATCATATTTTTACTGTTTTCTCAATAGACCAGAAGTTCGTCTCGTAATATTGTTTACAGTAAGCCATTATATTGTTTTAATTGCTTTTGTTTAAATGTTTATGTATCATATTTAATTCTTTGGTATTTGATTATATTTTTAAGATTTAATGTTAAGCTTGGGTAAAGAAACAAAAGAATGCTACTTATCTGATAATTCATTTAACTTCGACATCGCAAATATTATTCCTTGCATTAAAATAATCAATATATATTATTCAGAATATAGTGGAAACCTGTAAATCATTAACATAACAAATACTGTTAAATATCAAAGATCTTGTAGCACACACACACACACACACACACACACACACACACACACACACACACACACACACACACACACACACACACACACACACACACACACACACACCTATCGTAACTCACTTTATCAACACCAATAATGACGACAAAAATAATGAAACGCCAACCAAAAAGAAACAGGAATTCGTCCTTTTTTTCCCTTCTCTCTCTCACTCAAAACACCTTTTTAAACCACATCTTAGCCAAGGTTCTTCTTCTTCCTCCGACCCTCTCTTAGCGCAGTGGATGCCAGCTTCTTCAGAAAACGTCGAGAGTTGATAACAGAGCGTACGGTTGAGAGAGGCAGGTTGCTAATGTACTGAACCAGGGGACCCTAAGCCAGTTTCCACGTAGTTCTGGGAAGGGAAGGAACGGGCCTTGAGTGGTGGAGTTAAATGGTTCTGAAGGAGGGAGGCGTGTGGGGAGAGGAAGGGAGGAAGGGAGGGAGATTTGGAGTGGAAGAGAGGGAAGAAAGAAGACGACTGGTGGAGATAGGGATGGGAAGAGATGTAGGGAGGGAGAGAGGGAGGGGTTAGGCGAGAAATAGGAGGAAGTAGGAAGGGGAAAGAAAGGGAAAGTTAAAGCGAGACAAAGAGAAAACGAGAGAGAGAGAGAGAGAGGGAGAGAGAGAGAGAGAGAGAGAGAGAGAGAGAGAGAGAGAGAGAGAGAGAGAGAGAGAGAAAGAGAGAGAGAGAGAGAGAGAGAGAGAGAGAGAGAGAGAGAGAGAGAGAGAGAGAGAGAGAGAGAGAGAGAGAGAGACAGATAGAGAGAGAAAGAGACAGATAAAGAGAGACAGAGACAGATAAAGAGAGACAGAGACAGAGACAGATAGAGAGAGAGAGAGAGAGAGAGAGAGAGAGAGAGATAAACAAAAAGGAAGAGCAAGGTGTGAAAGAAAGAGAAAGAAAATATCCACATATCAGTACTAAAATTCAGTTCCCTCGAACGAACAAACAGTTTGGTCTAGCAGATAAGCAAGGCATCTCACCTTGGGTAAAAATTATGGGACTTTTCATCCGTAAACCAAAACACTACAGTTGTAAACAAAACACATGAACTGGAAAAAAGAAACAGCACGAGTGGGAAACAAAATACAAACAAACAAACACATTTACCTTCATGGCAATGCACTTCTCCTTCGTATCGACGTCACGTTTCGAACCCCAAATCACTACTCCTTCCAGCCCTAACATCCTAGAATACCCAAGTGTATTTACGACGTCTATGGGTATCAGGAACGAGGGAGAATCGTGGTACCTGTAAATAATAGGTATTTTTCTTTATTAACTCACGATACAGTTTCGTGTAATATACATTCCAGTGCAGTAAGCAGTATTGTTCTTTCTTTTACTGTAATTTATATCCATTTCGTCAGCTTTGTTACTCAAAGCTATTTACTTTAATACATTTGTATTAATCTTAGTCATTTCCTGTATTTTATTATAATCAGAGACAATATTCGCGCGGTTATTTTTAAAACAAAATCTCGGACATATCTAAGCAAAACCAAGTCGGCATTCACACTAAACGAAGGTCAAGGATTTGTTTACATTGTGGCGTGTCGAATAACCACGCTTTTCGGGCTCTCGTAGTTTGTTTACGTTGCGCCTGATATTTTCCTTAACGTATCGCTTCGTAGTGCCAGACATTGTCCTAGTCTATCTGTCTATCTTCTTTAATGTATTTTTTATTGTCCTTTCCAACACTTGAGTACTATCGTATTGAGAATTATTGTGATAGAGGCGGTATTCGATTTCTAAAGCCGGCGCCAGGGTGTTCTGCAACCCCACCAGTCTTGCGTTCCGTTGGAAAATACGGAATACTTTTGTGCGCTCGAACGGGACGGTCTGTAGCGCTACGGTGACGCTCAAACATAAACAGTGACACACACGAACCTTTGGTGTTTTAAATGTTGAGTTGAAACACATTTACTGTGGCTTTTACATATGCTAGTATTTATAAGTCATTTTTTTTTATATTTACATATCACATTTTCCATTAATAGTACAGCACTAGGTTTACAAGCCAGGAATCATGCTCTCATGTTTCTTCGCATTTAATATCCTTAGCATGGCTGAAAATGTACTCAAATATGAGTCAAGAAACACCCATTAAGTTTCAATTGATCTTAAAAGTCCATATGGCAGCTTCCACACCGAAAATTATTCTTTGACATTCTACATTAGCTGTTTTGGTATGGTCTATTGACAAGATAATTCTGATGATTATAATTAATTAATTGGTAGGCCTTCATACATTAATTTCCTGATTTTATGTTGTTCTAACAATTTTTATGATGATAACTGAGCCTGCAATTTGGTAGGAGAGATGATACGAGGGGATAAGAAAGAAAAATTATTAGAGGTTTTGATAATCAGATTTTGAATACCTGGTACAATACGGTAACGACGACCCTATTAACGTGCCACTAACAACTATCCCTCCAAAAACGTCTCTTTCCCATATAATTCCCCCCAACACCTTATTGTAAATACCGTCTCTCCTACACAAACACCCGAAACAAACAACACTTACTTGTACCAGAAGTAAGGGTATATAGGGATATCTTTACCAGCGTTGCGCCTAACCCTAAGGGCCTCACCCAAACGCCCCACGGTATTAAGACGTCGGGTTTGCGGATCCCACCCACTGTTCTTGAAGATGTAGATGCTGGGGTACAGGGCCGAGCTAGCTTCGAAGAGCCACAGGGTTTCATCGTTGCTCTTCATAACCTGCGTCGTTTTGTTGGTTGAGTTAGTTACGATATGTAAAGGTAGTAAGAGTTACGGTGTGTGAAGGTAGTGAGAGTTAGCTTTGATGTAAAAAAAAAAAAAAAAAAAAAAAAATGTTTGTTTTAAGGTTGTTTTTGTTATGAGAGTTAGTTTTGATGTAAAAAAATAATGTTTGTTTTAAGGTTATTTTTGTTGCGAGACTTAGTTTTGATGTAAAAAAATAATGTTTGTTTTAAGGTTATTTTTGTTGTGAGAGTTAATTTTGTATGTATAAAGTTTGTGGGGTTTTGAAGGTGGTTTTTATCATGACAATTTTGACGTGTAAATTAACAGGAATTATACGTTATTTGTCTTTAATTATGAGTTACTCTTAGGTGAAATGTTGACATAAATATTTCGTGGGATTTAAAAAGGTTATTTCGTTATGAGACGCTTCATACTAGACTCACTTGACTATTTGCAAGAACAACAAGAATTACTAACAGTGGGTTTGCAGTCGCCAACTCCCGGACCGTAGTTATGGCAGTAAGGGTAATGGTAGTAACCCCACTGAGCTTTTGGCCGGAGCATTTCACCCGCCCACAACAGCAGCTGTAGATTGGGGGGGGGGAACCTTTTTATTAAATTATATACTTTATATGTAAAGCATCGATAGAGGTGAAAACATAGTTAACAGAGAAGCGAAGATATATGAATGTAAATACGTATCATCTTCATTTGATATAAAAATAAATGAAGATTAATACATAGAAAGATGACGATGACGACGATAATAATGAAAGTGATAAAAATATAAAAGATTATAATAATGATGTTGACACTGATAACATTAATAGTAGCAATAATAGTAACTGCTACTACTACAACAACCAATAATAATTTGTGAAATAACCTTTTTTTTAACTAATTATACATTTAAACATAAATAATTTAAATCTTAAACATTAACAAAACAACAATAAAAGACCACGTACCTGGAAGTACTCCCTAGCCGAGTCGTTAAAAGTCCTCTCGGCAGTTTGAGCTATGAGCTGCGGCGACCACTCAGGATGCCGTGACGTAACCCAGGCAATGGAGGCGTGTCTATACTGCTCAGGACTCATTTCGTAGTTCGGATAGTATGTCTCGAAGTCTAGAACGGCCACACCTGTTATACAGTGCGGAATGAACGATGTGGTGTGAATCAGTTGAAGGTTTAGAATGGGTAGTTAGGGGAAGTCATTACTGTGGTTTTGTTTTTTCGGTGTTATGGTTTATTCTATTTTGTTTTATATTATTTATTTGAGTTTGAGTTTACAAGGGAGAGCACGTGTCAATTATCAGTCGATTCGAGGTCTACATAAGCAGAGTAAAGAAAATAACGTCCGTATTTTTTATTGTTCATTTAAAGACCAATTTTATCCTTATATGCAAACGATTAACACGAATAAAATGGGATAAAAAAAAACGAAAATAAAATAAACAAATAATGAAATAATAAATACATAATAACAAAATAATAATAATAATAATAATAATAATTATAATAATAACAATAATTATAATCATAACAATCACAATAATAATAATAATATTAATAATAATAATAATAATAATATTAATAATAATAATAATAATAATATTAATAATAATAATAAAAATAAGTCAACATGCAGCTGTTCGTTTACCTTCGAAGTCGGGTTTCATTTGGCTTTCGACCTGCTTCATGAAGGTTCGAACATGCAGGGAGATATTACCACGCTGGGGGATCCCTCCGTTGACTGGCGTATTGCCCTTATAAACTGGGAAAACTCCGGGGCCGTAGAAGATGGTGACCTGGGTGGGGGGGGAGGAGGATGGAATGAATGGAAATGATTTGGGAGGAGAAATGGCATCTGTTATGGGCATAGGCGTAGGAGCCAGGAGGGCTGGGGGGGCTGCAGCCCCCACAGTCGGTTAAATGCTGGTTGAATTCGGGCAATTTGGGCAATGGGCATAGAAATTGGAAATTATCCATTTAGCGAAAAAGATATTGGTAAAAAGTTATAATGTAACAGCTTTAAAAAGCAGAAAACTTTTCTTAGCATACATACTTTAAGAAGGGGATTTAAAAAAACAGAATTTTTTTCTTAGCACACTGAGGCCTTTCATATCTGCGAAAAAGTAGACGTGTTTCCTTTTTATCGGCATATAATATAGACAGGAGCGAAGATAGGAAAATTCACAGAGGGGGCGAGAAATGAAGATATCCTGACAAAGATTTGACACTAATTCTCATTTTTGATTATTTTGAACATAACATAAGGCCACTAGATCTAAGCGAAACAGAAAACCATCGTTATTTTTTCCGACAAGTGCAGAAATTTTCCGACAAAATAGCAGTTTAGCCTTATAGGTGGATCCCCCCCCCCCCCCTGATCCCTTCTATCTACGCCACTGGTGGCATTCATCACAAATTTTCTGGCAGGTGAAATTTCTCTTCCTCCTTCACTCGGGCAGAACATTTGCAGCCCCCCCCCCCCTAAATTTTAAATGCCCCTACGCCGATGGTTATGGGGTACTATTCACGCGCCAGATGATGATGATGGTGGTGATGATGACGTAAATGAGAGGAAGAGAAAGAGAAAGGAAGGATGTGTGTATGGGAGTGGGTGTGGATGTGCGTGTGCGTGTGTGTCTTTATACACGCTAGGAACTTTCGAGTAAAGCAATATTTTTGTAAGTTTATGATGCAGATAAATATGACATAAATGTATTATATAGCATAAATGAGCTAGAGTTTTATGTGTTTATTTATTTATTTAATTATCACTTGCTAATGGGGCGGATGAGGCCGCACGGTTTTTACGCTTCATTTGCATAATTTAAAGTCATAAAAACATAATTATGTATATAATCTTTCTATTTTAACAATTTCAAAACAAACGACGCTGCAAATTGTATAGCTATTTATTATTCCTCCGTTTAAAAAATATATATAAATCCCTTTTAATAATATAGTATAGTTTCTGCTCTCAATCAATAGAAAACGGCGCTCATTTTCTTTGTCAGTGGTGGCGGGTCTGTGACAGTTACAATCTTCACAAATAAATACAAGCGATTGAGAAATACTTACTGTAGTTAAACATATTCCAGACAGAGAAAAAACCCTCCCTTCACATAAACACAAAAACACAATCAACCAAATAATAAAATACCTTATCACCGTAGAACTTATCGCCTGTGTTTTGGACGATCCCATACTGTGAAACGTTTATATAGATTCCAAAATGCTGACACTCCTGCGTAGGCGAATTCCACCACACTGTAAAACGGGCATCAGCTGGACAGGCGAAGAAGACCCACGCGTAAACACAAACCCAAGCCCATAATGCATAAGGGCGGAGGGAACGACACAGAGACATGGTGGGGAGGACACACACACACACACGTCTGAAGGTCTGTGTTCGTTCTGTTGCGAACGTAATCTGGCGATGTAAGCATGAGACTGCGGCAGGGGTGTGGGGAGAGGGAGGGGAGGGGCTAGGGGGTTAGGGCGCAGGAGGAAGGATGTGGTAGGTCTAGTCTCTAGGGTAGGAAGGGGGGGGGGGGAGATAATAGGGTACGGGGAAAGATAGGCGTAGGAATGGGGTATAGGGGAGGAAGGTGAGTGAGAAAGGGATAAGGGTAAAGACATGGGGACATGGGATAGGAGATCACAGGGTAGGATATGGGGATTGGATAGAGATACGGGGAAGGATAAGGGTAAAGAGGCACTCCGGGGTAGGATATGAATTACGGGTTAAGAGGGGGGTAGGATGTTAACAAGGGAATAGGCCATGGCATTGGTATTAGAAAGGGCCCCAGTGTATTTTAGGAGAGGAGTCACGTGTTTAGGAAAAGGTGGGGAGGAAACGCGATAAAGAGCTTGATAAGAATTAAACACATGGGATAGGAGATCACAGGGTAGGATATGGGGATTGGATAGAGATACGGGGAAGGATAAGGGTAAAGACATGGGGACATGGGATAGGAGATCACAGGGTAGGATATGGGGATTGGATAGAGATACGGGGAAGGATAAGGGTAAAGACATGGGGACATGGGATAGGAGATCACAGGGTAGGATATGGGGATTGGATAGAGATACGGGGAAGGATAAGGGTAAAGACATGGGGACATGGGATAGGAGATCACAGGGTAGGATATGGGGATTGGATAGAGATACGGGGAAGGATAAGGGTAAAGACATGGGGACATGGGATAGGAGATCACAGGGTAGGATATGGGGATTGGATAGAGATACGGGGAAGGATAAGGGTAAAGACATGGGGACATGGGATAGGAGATCACAGGGTAGGATATGGGGATTGGATAGAGATACGGGGAAGGATAAGGGTAAAGACATGGGGACATGGGATAGGAGATCACAGGGTAGGATATGGGGATTGGATAGAGATACGGGGAAGGATAAGGGTAAAGACATGGGGACATGGGATAGGAGATCACAGGGTAGGATATGGGGATTGGATAGAGATACGGGGAAGGATAAGGGTAAAGACATGGGGACATGGGATAGGAGATCACAGGGTAGGATATGGGGATTGGATAGAGATACGGGGAAGGATAAGGGTAAAGACATGGGGACATGGGATAGGAGATCACAGGGTAGGATATGGGGATTGGATAGAGATACGGGGAAGGATAAGGGTAAAGACATGGGGACATGGGATAGGAGATCACAGGGTAGGATATGGGGATTGGATAGAGATACGGGGAAGGATAAGGGTAAAGACATGGGGACATGGGATAGGAGATCACAGGGTAGGATATGGGGATTGGATAGAGATACGGGGAAGGATAAGGGTAAAGACATGGGGACATGGGATAGGAGATCACAGGGTAGGATATGGGGATTGGATAGAGATACGGGGAAGGATAAGGGTAAAGACGAAATCACGGGATAGGATATGAATACGGGTTAAGATGGGGTAGGATGTAAACAAGGGAATAGGACAGTGGCATTGGGTATAAGAAAGGGCCCAGTGTATTACGGAGAGGAGCTCACGAGTTTAGGAAAAGGATGGGGGAGGAAACGCGATAAAGAGCTCTGATAAGAATTAAAAACAATTTTTATGCATTATTGTCGAACGCACGATGCATTTGTACAAACAGGTTATTCGTAACGTAAATGTATTGTCACTGTGTATGATTATGTAGGACAACGCAATTATTTAGAACTCGTAGAATAATTGTAATGTATGATTCGAATATTTGCCACTAATTATATATTATTTTATGTCCCATCTCTCATCATTTATTTCAGAAAAGAAACCAAGATTGATCTGAATATAGTTCATGATTTGTTAATTCTTTATAAATAATGGAGCCAAATGTTTCCTGTTATTAACTTTAAACTTTATATCTATACGTACATGAATGTCACTCTTGGTTATTCGAGATGTTTAGTTTTGTTCATGGCATAGGACCATAACAATAACAACAACAACAACAACAATAATAATAAAAAAAGAATAAGAATAATGATAATGATGATAAATGTTGCACCCAGTGTTTACAGCGATTCGGAGGCAGCTGCCTGATAATGCCACCAATGTGCTTAATGAATCTATAGTTTAGTCACCCCTGTTCCGATTTCGTTTATCTCTGCAAACAGAAGACAGTCAGGCATTTCCTCTTTGCAACGACATTGAATCATCTATGACAAAGGACGAGAGACTGAAAGCTTTCGAATTCTACTGTGGTGCGAGGGAATAAAAGATATATAAGAATAGAAGTCCTATTCGTCGAAACTCGCTTGGAAAAAAAAGTGAAAGAGGAGAAAGAGAAAAGAAAATTGATGATGAAAAGTAAACGAAAGGAAGAATAAATGTGTGTGTGTGTGGGTTTATGTGTGTGTGTGTGTGTGTGTGTGTGTGTGTGTGTGTGTGTGTGTGTGTGTAAAACGTTAATATCATTTTGGAAAGTCAGACTTCGGCAAAATATGAGATGCTTTTGAGAAAATATATCATCGAAATACATTAAAATAAATTTCTGGTCTGTGCATAAACAAAAACATCTTTCAGAAGCATTCGTATTTTAATATGTATGACTTTATACATAGTCTCCTGAGATCACACTTGTTCAATAACTTTACTTTATGCAAACAATTCGTCACAACAATCAAACACAACAATCAAACAGATAACAGTCGAGTAGACAATCCCCTATCACTGACTGTCTATTTATAAAGTCATTCATCAAACTCGTACTGCCACTTTTCACTAGGTCTTCCAAAGAAATTATGATGAATCTGTTCAGTATATGGTACGCTTATATATACCATGGTGGAATATACTTCCTATATATAATCAACATAGTTATTATTGATGCTGTTGTTATTGTAAGTATTATTATTATCATTACTATTATTAACATAATGATAATGATAATTATTATAATATTATTATCATTATTATTACTGTTATTATCATGATTATCATTACCATTATTATCATCATCCATATAATGATAATAACAATGATAATAATAATAATAATAATAATAATAATAATAATAATAATCACAATAATAGTAATAATAATAATAACAGTAATAATAATAATAATAATTATTATTATTATTATTATTATTATTATCATTTTCATCATCACCATCACAATCTTCACCACTGTTATCTTCACTGTTACTCATTCATTAACTACGTAATGTGTCTTGCTCATTTTATAAGGAATAGTCATGCATCGATCCCTACGGCCATCGAAACTTCTGTATTTTATTTATTTGTCTGTTTATTCTCTTATTTATTCATTTCGTTAACTGATTAATTTATTTGTTTAGTTATCTATTAATTCTGTTTATTCGTTTATCTGTTTGTCTAAGGTAGGAATTATCTATTTATTTATTCCTTTGTTTAATTATTCCATCTACTCATTTATTTGTCTATTTATTCATTTATTCGTTTATTTTCCTATTCATTTATTTCTTCTTTTTATTTTCCTATTCATTCATTTCATCTTTTTATTTACCTATTCATTCACCTGTTTATTAATTTCTTCGTTTTATTCCTATTCATTCATCTATCTATTCAGTTATTCACCTTCTTATTCATCTATTTATTCAATTATTCACCTACTTATTCATCTATTCATTCAGTTATTCACCTACTCCTTCATCCATTTATCCAGTTATCCACCTACTCCTTCATCTATTTATTCATTTATTCACCTTCTTATTCATATATTTATTCTGTTATTCACCTACTTATTCATCTATTTATTCTGTTATTCACATTCTTATTCAGTTATTCACCTACTCCTTCATCCATTTATCCAGTTATCCATCTACTCCTTCATCTATTTATTCATCAATTCACCTACTTATTCATCTATTCATCCATCTATTAATTCACCCACCCACTCACTCACTCCCTTCCTTGGCACTCACGGCCGCGCGTCCTCCCCAGACCGACGAGCGGCAGCGACTGATGCTGACGAAGATGTCTCAGGGCCTGGACCTCCTGATCACGCAGAACCCGGATGACGATTTCGCCCTCGGCCCGCCCGTGGATCTGAACGGAGACGCGGCGAGGGAGGTCAAGAAACTCACCAGGAAAGTCAACCAGATGGATAATATGGTTGAACGCGAGTTTAGGAAGATTTCGAATGAGGTGGGTGTTGGTTTTCGGTGTGTAGGGGGAGGGGTGGGGAAGGAAGGGAGGGAGGGGGGTATTTGTGTGTATATGTATATATTTTTTTTTATTATTATTATTGTTATTGTTATTATTATTATTATTATTATTATTTTCATTATTATTATGATAATAATAATAATAATAATTATTATTATTGCTATTATTATTATTATTATTATTATTATTAGTGGTGGTTGTATTTTTAAGGACGTGGGGATGTGTTCGGTTGATTGTTTAGAAGGAAAAAAACGATTTTTTTTATTTTAGAACTGTAAATTGATTTGGTTTAGTCTTTTATAAAAAAAATATATATAGTCAGGTATGTCTTAGTGGTTTTATTATTTAATCAGTTCTAGAGGCATGTAATAAATAAAACTTAAATATACTTTTTGTAAGAGTTTATAGTTTTGTTTTGGGTTCACTCCTGTGGCGAAGAATAGCAATGCAAATTACATCATTCCTTTATTTTTTTCTATCTCTCTTAAAGTCAGAGATGGGACTTTAGGTTAAGGTCAATCATATATGAACGTCCCTGAACCAGCCGTGTGTACAAATTAGTGGTACAAATTCACAAATTCACACACCTTTTTACTAATATCTTCCTCTCGTTCGTGCATTAGACTACTTTTTATAAATAACTTTTTCTATTACAAATTTACCTAATTCCCCACCCCCCCTCCCTTCCTTCGTACATTCGACATATCACATGACCTACACAAAAACACACAAAAAACAACGTTATCACCGTAACTACATACTTTTTACCACATACC